TCTATCACTTGCACTAGTTACAGTATTAATTCCTATATTTCTCATGATTTTGTTTGGTTCATTAATTATTTCAAATGTACGTCAATCTCAACGTCGTATTCACACATTACAATTAGGGAGTGTTGCAGCTACTAGGAATAGGCCGGTGGCATCAAATAGTGAAAATTCAGTGATAAAATTTGGGCAGAAAACAGATCGTAGCCTTCTTCTAATGCTTCTGTCTCAAGTTATTCTCATTGCCATTTTCACTGTTCCGTTGTGTCTTGACAAATTTTATTCATCATTCTCTGGCGATTATGGATCTCCGCTGGTATTAGCCACGAATGCCTTCGTATATGATTTTGCCATTCTGGTATACGATATATCAAATGGTATAACATTCTATGTTTACACATTGTGTGGTGGAACTGTGTTTCGAAAAGCATTGTATGATTTTATTATGTCGGTGAAAGTTAAAATGGGATGTCACTAGACTTATTGCTATTATTTATTTTGAACTTTGTCAATTCAAAAAGTTCGCTTTGTAAATAATATTAGCTTATTAAATCAACAAATATAAGAGAAGAGAAGGAATGCTTATAGACGTTGTAGAATGAATTGGAGAAAGAAGAGAAAACATCTTGAGGGTGTGGGGTGTATGGGTGTGGGTGTGGGTGTACGAAGGTTTAGGTGTTCACCACACACACACCCTTTCCGGTTCTACACCAAAGTATCAGTTTAGGGACAAGCGAATCACATGTTGATGAGTGCTACTTGTTGCTTGACGGGCCCCCTACCTCACAAAAGTTGACTTGTTAAAGAAAAACAAAAATAGATTTTTAACTATGGAAAGATGCATTCGACTCTCCTCCATCCAAGTATACATTTGATTTTTAAAAAACCTGCAGGTTTAACAACACTTACGAAATCATTTCTTCGAACCTACTACCACAGTTTTAGGCGGATGTCTATATTTTATTTCGGGTTTTTCTCAAAACATGGTTTTCAGACAGAGAAATGTAAAGAACTCTCGCTTAGCTCGGTGTATTGCGTTTTTCTTTCTATTTTAAAGGTCTCGACGAGAGCTAACGTTTGATTGGATAGAACTCTGATATTTGATTTCTGGACTAAGAACAGCCGAATTTACTGCGGTTTTTATATCTTACTTGACAGTCATACCGAATAAAATGCTTATACAGAATGAATAGAAAAGAAATTTAAAATCAACCCGATCTTGATAAATACTATAGTCGTAAAGCTATTTCAATTGTCGTGGAAGCTACAAAACAAGCTACAAGTCGAGCTTAGTAAGGTATATAAGGCTGAAATTTTTATCAGAGCCGTTTCTCACTAGGTGCACTAATTCCTGAAAGTTTGAGCCAAAGCGGGTCGTTCTAAGTGGCAGGTCAATTCTGAGAGAGAGGCCCCCTTAAGTCGAACATAAATATTCTCTCTCTATATATACGTATATATAGCTTCTCAGTTGAAATGAAATATCCAACTGTTTACCTTATTTGACTTGAATGAGACATGATCATCCTTTTTATTGTCATCACTATCATCAATATCATTTGAAAAACTCAACGTGGCTGCATCATCAGCAGTTCTATCGTCAACTAGTTCATCGTTTTTAGATAGACTACCATCAATTGAGTTTGTTACCTGTTCAAAATATTTTCTTGTTAGAGGTATTGAATTAAAATTTGCCATCGGTGAAAATTTGTCTATGATTTTTTAAATGAAAATGTTTGAAGATTGTAAGTTAAATTTTGATCAGTGATAAAATCTAAACTTAAGTCAACTATTTTTTTTACGATAACTCATTGCTTCAGATAATTGTGAATTCGTATTTTCATCACAATTGTACCAAAAGTAGAGTTCTAGCTCAAACGATGAATCATCTACTGCCGGTATATTACATACATTTAATAATGACATATGATTCGGTTTAGATTTCGGACGTGTTAAAAACATGATTTTTGCCATAATGAAAAACAATCAAAATTTAAACTCGATGAATCCCGACATTGAACCCACGCCGAATTATCTTCATCTTTATTTGTACTTGAACGTAGAAATTGAGCCATTGAAATTCTATAAAAAGAATCGGGCGCTGTCAAACGAATATCACATTTAAATTGTTGATCAGGTTCAATAATTAAAGATTTTTTTAATATCTCTGATTCATCAGATGAAATTAGCTGCGAACGTCGCTGATTGAGTATCATATATTCCCAAACGCAGTCGACTATTAGTGTAGTTTCTTCTAGGATAGGTTTATCGGGTAGATCACTCATCGGGTTTGAATAACCCAATATAAGATAATTTTGAAAGTATTGTCTAATATGATTATGATTTTCTAGATTAACAAGAGGGGTTTCTAAGACTTGGCTTTTTATAAAATAATCAGCTCCATGCGCAACTAAATATTGAACAATTTCTAATTGCCATTGAAACAACCTGCATGTAATGCGGCTGATGCAAACTGGGAATAAAATCCGTATATTAATATACGCTTAAAGGGTTTATGATCTTGTTATCAATCCATTTGTTGGCAAATTATTTTTCTTATTGTGAAAATGATTTTGCCGCAAATTCAAATTCCCCATCATATGAAATTTCTGAGCGATTGAAGATATTTTTTGCAAAACGAATCGTTATTGTTGTTAAAGTTGGTACGATACCCGTATTGATATTTTTTTCTTGTTTAATTAGCTACTTCAATAGAATCGATTAGTATTTTAATTTGATTAGACAAAAAAGGCAGATAATTTCGAGTTAACTTCGTTCTATTTCTAGTAAAGTATAATAAAATTCTGTGATGAATAATGAGTGATATCGGTTGATGAAATTTACAAGCATGTATCGAAGCAATATTGTCTAAATATGTTTTAATGCGTACGAACGATGAGCATTGATCACTTTTTATCATATAAAAAACAACATTAGCTTGTTTAATGGAATGATTGTGATAATAGCTACTTATCGATGTTTCTACGTTTTTAGTTACTGAAAAAAAGTATGCAATTAGTTTCAGCATAGTATAATCTCGATTTCGAGTTTTTAAATTTATGTTAGACTATCTTTAGAGACTGATTGTTTCTTTTTTTGCTTGTAAAATAAATCATTTTTTGAAATCGAAATCGAAATGGACATGACAGGGAGAAGTGTTTATTTCAATTGAAGAAATAATATGTTCGATCTGCTAAAATATACATTCGAGAAATATGAATTATAGTCAAGATTAGTCAGTTTTTTCAACTTACAGAAAAATTCTCTCTTGTTCATAATCATGTAAGTTTCATCTATTTTAAAAGAAAACACAAAACCGATTATAGAAACATCATATCTGGCGAGTTTATTTGTACTAGTCTGTTGAATGATAAGAACTATTGCACGTCATACTTCCTATAAAATGCAGTTTTTTATATAACCATACATTTTTCTCTTGTTTACAATCCATTTTCCTGTGATATTTCCCTTGAATGTATTTCTGTTACTATGTACAATTCTTTGCAATGAAAAATGTAATTGAAAATCATTCGATGCTGAAGTTGGAAAAGACGAAGAGTAAAATTTACTCGGTACAGTTTGTTTTAATAAATATTTTATATTCAACATAGTAGAACAATGATATCATTGAACGCGAAACGAATTACAAGATTGCTTTAATTTAATAATAGAAAAATTAATTTTAGTTTATATCATAAAAATATTACGACAGTTTCAAATATCTCCTTTAATCAGATTTTCACTTATAGTTCTTAATTGCATTCTGCTAGAACTATTCTATTGAAAAAAAGATCAAATATACTATTCATATTTATTATTAAAAATAGAACATAGAGGCAAACGAAATTCATTCTTTTGTATTTTTATTTTATAATTTACGTTCCGATTGAGATAGATATGATAAATTTGAATATTGCTCTCTCACTGATTTAGTTTTTTCTTAAACTTCTTTGAGACTTGTTTCAAGTGTAATTTCACCTGTATCAGCATTTTTTAAATATTAGAAATAGTTAGAAGATAATTTAAGAATATATCTCGGTTTTCTATTCGTATGTTTTCGCCAAAACGCATTCAATCGAATTTCACATATATTGATATTTTTTCTATTTTAGTATGATACACAATGAATTTAATACCGTAAATTTGGACATTTTTTGCTTGTTTACCATTACTTTTTTAATGAATGTTGACTGTCACTATGCGTCGTCCTTCTATAAAAAGTGAAAATTTCAAACGAATTTTTGAAAAAACAGGCAAAAGAAATCGGAAACGGAACAAAAAAAAACATTGCCATACTGTAAAAAATAAAAAGAGTAGCAGAAAAAATAAACATTAATCAAAAGCCAAACAATACCGAAATTCCAAACGACATTTTAATTTGAGTTATTTGAATCTGTTGAGTAAATTATTAGGAAGATCTGAAGAGCAAAAGAAGCTATTTTTAACGTTCTCTACGGGTGTGACGCTCTGTTAATGGGAAAATGATGTCAATAGTTACCTTGATCATCCATATGCTCTAGTCTTACAAGTTGGTTTGCAAAAGGAATATGCGCGTTTCGTAATTTCTCGTTAGTGAACTTGCAACAATAGCCGTACCCCTATACTCGAATGGTCAGAACATTCAGACAGCTTCGCAAAAGTAGATTAATCCATACTTAGGTATTGATGTTGCTGTATTGTGAATTGAGACAATATACAGTCACTCCTTTTTCGGTGGCATATTCTGCGTGTTGATCTTGGCATACTTCAATTAGTCAACATACGTAGATGAAGGCATAGAAAAGATGCAAGTTCACACCCTTATTCATCGAGTCAGTCATACCAAACTGTTCTTTGTGCGATAACAATTATTTCCTAGTTCAAAGTATCAGTCATATCTCTCTACTAAATTGAAAATAAATATTCGTATTGAAGGAGATCTCTTCCTGCTAGAAAATATTGCGCTAACAATGTTTTTTGCAATCATTATATTAATGCAACTAGGTTCTGATCTCGCAGTCATGCACTAGATCGTTAGGAGAAAGCGCTGAAATAGCAAACAATAGGTAAGAGTTTGAATTAGAATAATCTTGTACTCTCCATAACATTATATGAAAAACACAGCAAAATATCAATGTTTGTAATAAAGTGAGTACGGATATTATTGATGAGATACTCCATGCTGCATACGTTATCCATGTCCTCAAACAATTTCAAAATGTTCAAAATATCTCTCAATACAGAAGTTATTGCTAGGATATTATTAATAAAAAGAAGATAATTTTGAGCATTGAACAATAAACATTCCTTGCCAATTTGTTTCGATTTCATGTTAAGATTTAAGAGAAAAGTCATATTTTATCTTTTTATGTAACCAGTTAATCATTAGCAATCAAGATATCATAGACTTTAGATAATAAAACAATTGTGACGAAAAGCAAATAAAAAAAATTGAAAGACCATTTTTATATACGTTTTTTCTAGTATCTTGAGGGTGTGGATGTGGGTGTCCTCTGGGCATGATATTATAATCAGATTCACAAGCGTTCAAACCCAAACCCAGACGCACACTCACTCCCACCCACACCCATCAGTGTTGTGTTCTCTCTTTATTCTCTGTTTTGTGCCCCGATATCGACTACTTGTGCATCGCTTAGTCAATCATGTTTTACTATGTCTTGTCGTGAATGACGTTTTAATTTGCACTACAGAACTTCCATTTACATTGATACTTCTATATCGAGGTGTTACTGCATTTATTAATAATATATTTTGTCTCGTCTGGTTTTTCTACGGTTGTGTTATTTTTACTACTTCTCTTTTTCTACTGGCATGGATCTCTGTGGAACGATATTTGCTTGTGTTTCGCAAAGTATTTTTCACACGCCACCTTTTCATCGATCACTATCTACCCCTTCTGTTATGTATCGTCTACCCATGCATCTTCTATGCCGGTGTGTTATTCATCTACAAATGTGAAAATGAATTCAACTACGAGCAGTGGGGATGTGCATCAGGTTGCTACCAGAGCAACTATTTTCTTGGTACTTACGACACGGTCACAAATACGATCATGCCAGCTATGATTGTTATTCTAATGAGTGTACTTCTCTTTGGACGAGTCGCTTATCAAAAATATCTCATGAAACAGACTCACATGCTGAACAAAAACAAGAAATTGATTCTTCAACTGTTATTGTGTGTTGTTATATATTTATCGGCCTGGTTTCCTTACAGTACTCTTGATATCATGCTTATCTATATTCCAGACAATGAACTGATAAACAATCTCTACCAGTATATTTTCAATATTGCTATCTACGTGATGCCACTTCTGTCGCCTTTTCTGGCCTTGATTACAATGTCGGATTCGACCAAGAAGCGCTCGCAAGCAGTTGAACCACGAACTACTCTAACCATGAAACCGCTATGTACGGCTGCAACAGTTGCTAATCGTTGACTAGACATCTAACAAAAATGTGTCTTGTGAACACATTTCAACAATTGTTGTTTGTAAAAGTAGCCAATGATGTTACCTGAGAATCGAGAAAGCATGCAATATGCTTATTTTTCTCTTCTTTACTTCACGAAATACATCGATATTTTTTTTTAATTTGTACGCATTGATTTAGGGTTAGTTAATTAATGTGTTTAAATACAATCAAAATTCTGCGGTAAACTTCTTAGCAAAGATGCTTAGATTTACAAAAGAGTGTGGGGGTGAGGTGTGTACTGATTTCATTCACCCATAATACAAACAAACACCTTCACTCAGATATTTTTTACTGACAACTCAGAAACCTACTTTCAATCACTTGATGATGTATATAATACATGTATCACGTGGGGAAATGGACTTTGCTCACCTGGCTTTGACTCATGAATGTCTATGATGACTAATCAGAAAGAAGTTGAAGAACAGAAGAAAAACGATAACAATGATGTATGTTACTATATCAACGCAGATAGAGACAATCAAACAGCTAAATTTTAGTTGCGCGTAGGTGTTAATCGATACTTGCTGAACAAAGGTGAAATAAAGCCTCTATATGAAATATATAAACAGGTGTGAGAATCGACCAGAGCAATAAAAACAACAACACGATTCCACACAAGACGTAGATGAGGTAATAATTTTTTGTCAACGACATTGCCGGATAAATACAAAATTCAACGAAACAACAACAAACTGTGAAAATACAGTGTATCAATTCAAATGTCACGTGAAAATATTTTCAAAAGCATCAACATACCTGATATTATGATAGATATATACCCACTCACAGTTTGCAATGATTAACTAGCT